ACTAGACTGAAGAACAAAAAAAACAGCAACTTGTCTGTTCCCCTTCCCCGATTCCCCAACGCTCTTCCCCTCCCCCAATTTCCCAATAAAATCTTTTTTTAAAAAAAAAAAAGAGAAGAAAACAAGACCCTTACATATGTTGCCTACAAGAAACTCACTTCAGATTGAAAGACACGCACAGACTAAAAGTAAAGGGGTGGAAAAAAATAACTCATGAAAATGAAAAAAAAAAAAAAAAGACTGGGTTAGCAATACCTATACCAAACAAAATGGACTTTAAAATAAAGGCTATAACAAGAGACAAAGAAGGGTTCAGTAATCCCACTTCTGGGTATTTATCTGAAGAAACCCAAACGCTACTTCAAGGGGATGTGTGCATCCATGTGTTCATTGCTGCATTGTTTACAATGGCCAAGATGTGGAGGCAGCCTGGGTATCTGTTGATGGACAAATGAATAAAAAGGAGGTGGTACATATATACAAGGGAATATTGCTTGGCCACAGAAGGGAATGAGTTCTTGTCATCTGCAGCGGTAGGGATGGACCTAGAGGATATCGTGCTGAGTAGAGGATGTCAGACAAGCAAAGACAGATTCAATGTGATTTCACTTATATGTGGAATCTAAAGAACAAAATAAACAAAACAGAAACAAACTCATAGATACAGAGAATAGTTTGATGGTTGCCAGATGAGAGGGGGGTTGAGGGCATGGTGACAAAAATGAAGGGATTAAGAAGTACAAATTGGTATTTACAAAACAATTGTAGGGATGTAAATAAAACATAGGGAATAGGTCAGCTGGATAGCTCAGCTGGTTAGAGCACGAGCTCTGAGCAACAGAGTTGCCAGTTTAATTCCCACATGGGCCAGTAAGCTACGCTCTCTACAGCTAAGATTGTGAACAATGGCTTGACCTGGAGCTGGGCTGCCATTGAGTGGCCGGCAGCCAGCGTGAGCGGTTGGACTGCCTCAGCCAGGTAGAGTGCAATCATCATAATACCAACACGGGCCTGTGAGCTGTGTACTCCACAACTACAACAGCTTGGCTCAGAGGTTGAGGAGGGAACATAGGGAATATAGTAAATAATATGGTAATAACTATGTACAGTGCCAGGTGGGTACTAGACTAATCAGGGGATTACTTCTTAAATTATATAAATGTCTAACCACTATGCTCTACACCTGAAATTATTATAAAATAATACTGAATGTCAAACTGTAATTGAAATTTTTAAAAAGGGGGAAGTGAAGGGGAATAAGAAGTTAAAGTAAGTCATGGGGATATAATATACAGTATAGGGAATATAGCCAATAATATTGTGACAGTGTGGTACAGTGTCAGATGGTTGCTAATTATCATGGTGATCACTTCTTTAGGTATATAAATGTTGAAAAATTATGTTGTACACCTGAAATCAATACAGTATTGTATGTTAGCTATATTTTAATATAAATCTTTAAAAAAAAAGGCTGTATACTAAATACAGTCTCCTTAAAGTGGTCTAGGAGTCAGACCACTGGACTCAAAAAAAGTAAATGGATTCTAGCACACTACTAAGCCCAGTACTCAACAACATTCAAAATGTCATACTAATTTTTCAATTTTTAGTCAACCTTTGGATGAAACACTTGATTGCAACTGCAAAACAAATGTTAGCAACCTTGACAATTTAAAAGTAAACAAGTAACTGATAAATGGCTGAAGGTAGAGACAAGAAAAGGAAAACTAAAGGGAAAGATAGGGGTGCTTATTAGTGCATTTTATATAAAGGGTATGAAGAAACTGCTTAAAGATACAATTGATAGATACTATAATTATATTCAATATGTAAAAAAACAAAAAATATAATTATCAATATTTGGAAAGAAGTAAAAGAAGAAGAGATGGAGAAAAGGAAAGTAGTGTCAATCAACTAAACCCTCATCTTTCATATAAGTCAACTGACACTGAGTTAATTCAATAAACAGAATTTAAGTATTCTATACATCAAAGATATATCCTGAACATAAACTCCACTGCTGATGGTTTAGAAGACACTATACTAAATCTGGACTGACCCCTCCCCACACCTCTTCTGGACATTGGTATATATGCGTACATGCAAAGAAGTGCACGAGAATGTATGTGCTTATTTGAATACACATATGTGTATGTATTTCAACTAAATTCATGACTTTGTTTTCTTTCAGCATTTTTGCTAAAAAAAAAAAAAAATCACTGAATGCAAGAATTAAGGAAGGTACTATCCTGGTTAACCAAAGACTAAAATTAATTAAGATTTGATTGATTTCTCCAATGTCTGTAAAAGATTATTCATAGCGATCATTCATAGCGATCTACCGTCACACAGGAAAATGGCACTGCCTTTCATGGTACAAATGCTAACGCTAATCCTAATGAAGTGAGAAGTACACCTGACTTAAGAAATACTGAAGGGGAGGCACTAAAAGTATCTGAAAACTATTTTAAGGATCTTAGAATAATTTCACAGGAATAAAGCAAAATAAATAAATGTATATTGTGAATCTCACAAATCTAAAGGACAGTTTAACAGAAGAGAACAGTGGGAGGATACCGTACTGCTATCATCAGGAAGAACTTTCTAACAATTGCAGCTATTCAACAACAGAATGGACTGCCTATAAAAAAGGTCTGATCCTCTATCCCATTATTGTTTAAATGAAGACCAAAAATCATGTCTGTAATGTTTAAAACTAGTAGAAGATTAGACTAAATAGCCCCTAAGGTAGTAACTATAATTATGAGAGTTCTAAACTAATAAATTTTGACTTACCAACATCCATTGCGGTTTCCATGAAGCTTTTCTGTCGTGAAGCAAACTCTGCAAGCAATTTCTGCTGCCTCTCTCTAGCCTTTTGTCGCCTAGATTAAACAGAAATAAAGTGGTAAGTACGAGACGTGCTAAAGACTTACCTACTATCTTTCAGGAGTACATAATGTGTGAAAAGGCCTTGGCACACAGTTGAGAACAATCTATTTTCTGAACTATGTATTACATTTCATGTAAACTTGTCTGTAAAAGGATTCCACTGCTTTAAAATGGTTTGAAAATCACTGGCTTAAATAAAAATAAAATCCAAGATTTATTTTAAAATGTGAAATAATAATTAAAGTAGATAGAAAATTTGGGTTTCCAACAGTACAATTTCCTAAGTATATGCCAGCTGGTAGCAAGAGCAAGAAGAGTTTTTTTAGCAAGGAACTAACAATTTAACCCCAGGTGCAAATAATAGCAAACTGGTTGCTAGAAGAAGCTATGATGTTTAGATACGAACAGGCTCTAAAATATAAGAATAGTCAGATTTACTCTTACCTTAAGAATATGTCTCTCCTAATAGAGAATGAACAGAAGCCAGAAAGTTTCCCAGTTTCTACTCAGAAATATTCCAAGTTTAGTTTATTTTGTTTGAAGAATTTGAAAGAGTCTCAAATATAACATAAAGAATAAAACTATATTCCAAACCTAAGCATGAATATTCCTCTAAATTAATTAATTATATTCTATTTATTATTTATTCCTTATCTACTTCCAAAGAGTATTTTAATTTGAAGCTGGTTAAAATACACACACACACACACACACACACACACACACACACACACACACACACACACACACACAAATACAACAGGACTATAACATATGAATAAGAAAATAAAAGTAAACTACAATAATAAAGTAAGACGATAGGCTTCCCTTGATTTGAGGATGCTAACAATACTAGTGAGCATAAGATCTTACCCTCAATCAAGGGAAGGTTAAAATAGTAATTTAAAACAAAAGAAGAGGGAGAAGAAGAAAAAGATTAAAAGGTGAGTTATACGAGGTATGATCAAACAATATGGTGAATGTTTAAATTAAAAAATATGGATTACAGTAAAAGACACATTGCCATTAATACCCCTCACTTTGAGCACACTTATCATTCTTGCCACTTTCTGAAGCAGTTCTAGAAGTCCTCTTTCGTGAGTCTTTAGTTGTGCTGTCATGGCTGCCTCATGTCCTGAATCGATTCAAAACATTTACCTTTCATGGTCATTTTGACTTTGGGGAAGAGCCAGAAGTCCCACGGTACCAGATCCGGTGAATAAGGTGGATGAAGACACACCATAATGTTTTTATTTGACAGAAGTTATCATACCAGAAGCAATGTGTGACACAGTCTTTCCATTGTCATCAAAAGATATGGTGAATGCTGCTGCCGAGTGCTATCCAAAGAAAGGCAGGGATCTTCAATACAGGAAGCAGCGAAGCAGTACGTTGAACCTTCGTAACAGTGTGTGACAGGTTTCACCTTGTTTGGTGCAGTCAGTCAGGTGTGAGCTACGTCTGAGAGAAGATGTGTTTTAAAGTGTGCTGTAAATCATCCTCTATCATGACAATGCTCTGTGTCACACATTGCTTCTGCTATATGGCAATTTTTGTCAAATAAAAACATTCCAGTGTGTCCTCACCCACCTTATTCACTGTATCTGGCACCATGAAACTTCTGATTCAGGACATCGAGGCAGCCGTGACAGCACAACTAAAGACACTCACGAAAGAGGACTTCCAGAACTGCTTCAGAAAGTGGGAAGAACAATGGGATAAATGTGTTTGAAGCAAGGGGGAGTATTTTGAGAAGGAATTAATGCCAGTGTGTCTTTTACTGTAATAAATTTTTTTAATTTAAACGTTCACCGCATTTTTTATCACACCTCGTATAACTAAGAATTCTCCCCCAAGTCTCAAACCCTGTATTTCACTGGACATCTTCAGCTGGATGTCTCCCCTTAAACTCAGTAATGTACAAAACTAAGCCTATCAATTTCTCTGCTAAGCCTCCTCTTATCCTCTCTAATCTTGACAAACAGGAACACCATCCAGGAAAGACTTTTTACAAACTTATTAATTATATGATTTAACAACAAATAAAAAACAATCTAAAGTTCCAAAAGCTAGAGCCATAAGTATATTTTAATAAACTATTTAAAAATTAGTGACCATACAATTGGAAAGATTGGAAAGGACCAAAAGGAACTAAAATAATCAGATTTTTATTTTGAGAAATATTTAAAATATTTTTAAAATTTTTCTGTTCTCATTTAAAGTTGAATTGATAAACAGCAGGGGAATTATTAGATCCCCACAATAATAAGAGAAATAGTAATTTTTCCAAAGAGGCCTACAAGTTTAGGACAGTAATTTAATGTTTGGGTCAGAAACTCTCGTCTTCTTACCCCCAACGAACTCAAGCATGCTACACACACAAGCGCTGACTATGTTTGGTTCCAATTATCTTACAAACTAATCAGCTGTAATTAAAGATACTAAGCATAAAGGTGATAAGCCTCAGATGGCCAAAAATGAAACATATATCAAATCTTCAAATGTACCTACCATACACATTTGAAAGATAAAAAATAAATAATTACCTTTCTTCCTTGTCCAATGTTTTCTTCTCTGCTGCAGTGATTTTTTTGGGTGGGACAGGAGGGGTCACTTTTCTACATATCTCTTCAATGATGCGTTTGTTCATTCTGCTTTGCAATGCAGCTTTTAGTAAAATTCTTTCTACCGCAGTTATACCATCTCCATGACTATATTTAGGAATTTCTGGTTGGATTAAAATTTCTATGTCATCAAGCCAAGGAGGATAGTAGGAGTTTTGTTTTCCTGAGAGTTTGTGGTGAAGTTTAATTAGCAAAGACAATATGCTTTCTTTAATTTCCAGAATGGCTGTAGTTAACTGTAGAGCTGAACCAGGAACAGACCATTTACTTGAAGTTTTGGGACGAACCACCTGATTTGCTTCACTGTTACTGCGATTGATGATCTCCTGAAACTTCTTTCTACGCTCTGCTACTAAGCTGAAAACTTGAGCGGTACCAGAATTCTACCATTAAAAAAAGAGAAAGAAATCAAGAGAAGTTATCCAATGTCGAGTTTAAAAAACATACTAGTACTACATTTTCCAAAGGGAATGTTCAAAGTTTCAACCAAATATTTATCCAATAGATCCTCTCTTTAAGGAAATCTGTCCTTTCACCTCTTTCACAAATATACTTAGTCCCACTTAGTCAATCTGAAAACAATGAGGAGAAAGAGATTATCCATGATAACACCTCTTTTGTAACCTCCTAGGTCTATCTACCAGAGAAAATAGACAAAACTTGAGTGGTATCTATATTCATAATGAAGACAAATCATAAACTAAGTTCCTCATCAGTTTAAAGGAAGAAAGTTATTCTAGCCAACATTCATCAAGAATACTATACTCTTTACTTTTAGATGACTGCTACATTTTCTAGTTAAGAAATTATAAATTACAATTTACACTTAAAATTATAAATGTTTTCCAAGTTAATGAATCTGAACTGCTAATTAATTTCATTTTTAAGCAACTTCAAAAATTTAAAAATTACTTATAACATATGTGCTCAGTTACTAAGATGAAATATAAAGATGAAAAATCAAATTGATCTGTTTCATATTTGAATATCACTATAATTTATTTGAATATTTTTTTAACTATTTTTGTCAATAATTTGTTTTCTAAATAGCCTTTATGCTAAAGCAGTCGCATTGCATTAGGACTCTTAGAAGTCATCTTTTAATTAAGATACAAGTCAGTTTAATGGATTTCATTAATTTTTTTAATCAAGACTATAGAAAAAATGTTCCAATATCAACTGAGCTTTTATGAGGTAATTATAATATACACTATTTTTCAACATCCAAGCTGTTTTTCAAAGTACTCTCTACCAGTAGTAGAGGCAAAAGCTGATTCTTACAGAGATTCCAATATTTTAATCAAAATTCTTTATGATGTTTGCAGCAAAAACATACTGTCAAAGGCAAAGAAAGCTCCTACAAATGGACTCTGTGATGAGAAGTGTCTGATTCAATGTTCTCTACTCACAAAAATATAGATTGTAGAGATAAGAGGTATTTAAGGTTGGTTATTTGGCATGTCATTTTCAGACATTTCATTTCTGCTTTTCAAAAATTAATTAAGCTACATGCAATGAGAGAGCTGATTTTCAAAATGACTCCAGGTACACAATATATGGAGTTTAAGATTTCTGGGCTTATTTCATCACAGTTAATTAATTGCCATAGAAGCAAAGAATTAAAAAACGAAAATGGACATGCAGCCAGCAGTTATAGACTAAATTTATTTTGATTTAGGAAACATTTATTTTTAAGATGTTAGTCACAATGCAAAATACAAACAGACTCAAATGTGCTGCTTATAATTGGTCTAAAATACTTCTAACACTACTAAGAAAAACCCACTATTAAACATTCAATATTATTTTTTAAATTCAATAACTTGAATTTTCTTTAAGCCTAAATCACTATATAAAAATCACACACAAGGGCCGGCCGAGTAGCTCAGTTGGTTAAGAGCTCGCTCAAGAATGCAAGCTCTGAGCAACAGCGGTTCGAGTCCCAGCCCAAGCTGAGCTGCTGCTGAGCTGCCAACAGGTGGCAGGATGGCTCAGCTATAAAAAAAATAAATAAATAAAAATAAAAATCACACACACATACATTAGAGAAACACTTTTCTAAATTTAACCATATTAATTAAACATACACATACATATACACACACAGATACTTCAGTGGTTTTCCCCATTTCCAGTTAAAGCCATATTGCCAGTTAATACAAATATCATATACATCTACCTCTCTTTGAAGAACTTTAGGTCGTCGTGAACTCTGGCAGATTAAAGGAAAAAGATAGGTGAGGCAGAAATTGCTTAAATATATCAGAGGAAGTAAAAGACAATTTAAAATTATCTACAACCACATTTATTTTTCTTTTGGGTATCACAGAATGAACTAAACAACATATTCCAACATAACATAAAGTCTTTCCTTTTATCTTTCTCTCGTCTACACTTACATGTAAAGAACCCAAGCTATCAGAGCTGGTACTTGCAGATGAATCTCTCTTTACTTCAGGAGCAGTCTCTGGAACTCTCACTCTAACGTAGTTTATAAAGTGTCTCATGTTGGATACTAAATTACTGCCAGGAAACCAACTGTCATGACAACGTTCTGGTCCACACACTGATGCCTAAAACATAAACATAATAAATATCAAACCTTGTCAAGTCAGGCCTAAGGTACAATGGAGATGTAACAAACCCAAAAAATCATCCACTTCTGTCATCTTCTTGAATCCCTTCAGCCTCATCTACAAATTATAAAGTGCTAACAAAACCAAATTCAAACACAAAATATAAGAATAAGTTTTCAATACTAAAATGGGTAGTAAGTTCAATGTAACCCTGCTAAATTTCTTCTGAAAAAAATATATTTTTTGATCTGGAAATACTGAACAGTACAGAGTATTTTTCATCACACATTAGTAATAACTCATAATAATGCCAAATAATGCTAATTTGGACTAATTGTGGAAGAACGTGTAAAAAAAAAATCAACCAAAAGTCTGAGCTAGTTTTAGAGGAATCTTAATGATTCTTTACTATCTATGAAAAAATACAGTATTTCCCCATGTATAAGATGCTCCCATGTATAAGATGCACCTTAATTTGGGGCCCGAAATTTGAAAAAAAAATGTATTACATAAAGTTATTGAACTCAAATTTTATTAATCATAAAATTCATACAACTCCTCATCACTGTCAAAACTCCCAGCCATTAGCTTGTCCTCCACTGTGTCTGATGAATCACTGTCTTCATATACTGCCTCGTCCTCAGTTCCATCTATGGCTTAGACGCATCCAGTTTTTAGACCCCAAATTTTTCAGGAAAAGGGTGCATCTTATACACGGGGAAATACGGTATATGTTGATTCAACTTGGATTACAAAGGACTGCCTAGTCTTTTTGTTTTTTGCTATTATGTATTGCAGTATTTTGTCTTTTTGGAGGGAGTGGTTAAGGAGGTCTTGTGCTCCTAAAATCAATTTGTAGTAACAATTACTATACTGGAATGATATTTCTGAAGTCCTGAAACACATTAACTTGTATACTTAAGTACTTTAAATATTCTCCCATTAAACAATATTTACCCCATTAATTTAAAATCTTTACAGAAAAAAACTTGCTACTCAAAAATAATCCCTAATCAAATTATTAGAATTTCTAGACTAAAGTCCTAACGATTATCAGTAATCAATGTTATTAGCATAACACCAAAATTCATTAACCACTTTTCTTAGATCTATATATTATGAATTTACAAATTTCAAATTCAATAATTCCATAAGTAGAGTTCAATGTATCAGTGAAACCTCTAAAAGAACATATATTGATTTAAAGATCAAAAAACGCCTGTTCCAGTAGTTCTTAAGATCTCATGAGTATGATGAATCCATAAATACATTTTGAGATGACATACTACTTTTATTGAGACATGTTGCAACTTTAATATTTAAAAACACAAGCAACTACTTACCTCTTCATCTGATTCCTCATCAGCTGAATTTTCAAGTCCTAATTCAATCAGATATAAAACCATGCAGAGTACATGTTCTGACAGATTTTGATGATCCATCAATATCTTTAAAAAGGGGGGGAAATGACTTATAATTACTTTTTCCATAAAATATATTTTATTTAAATATCCAAAAACATTTTAATTTATAAAAATAACATAAACGTGTGTGTGTATATAAATATATACTACAATCAGATATGTAAATAAAGTTACATCTTGGTGAAAAGACAAACTAAAACCAAAAATACAGGTTCCCTTGCAAGATTACATAGTATTTTACATAATATCTAGAAATAAGGGTTCGCTGATTTCCTAAAGGTTAATACATTAAATAGTCTACTAAAGCCATTATAAACATACTAATACCTAAGAAAATAATTTAACAAGAAAATTTTACATCCTAATTTGCTGACACTCTTCTGATGACAAGGATACCAGATAAATAAGTTTTTTTAAATAGGGCAATTCACACAAATGTGTTTAGTGCAGCACCTGGCATATAATTGGGGGCACAATAAATGTTTATGGAGCATTAATATTCTTGAAATCTGTCTCTAAAATTGAAGTTCTGAGCCTGAGTATTTTGTGCAGTTATGTAAATGTGTATGTTAGTGTGTGGTTTATATGGGTGAGAAAGGAAAAACAAAAGCTAATGGTTAGGAGGAAACAGATAAATCTGACCTTATACATGGATTATACAATATAAGCCATATATATCTTATGCAGGATTTCAGGACTAACCTATACCAATCACCCACTCAATATGATACAACAAACCACTAGCTGGGATGGACTGGTATCATGTTGTCCTCATTATAAAAGTCATGTGGCCAAACAATGGAAGGGATAAGATGAAAAGGTTCTACAAGGAGTGAGGTGGTCAGCTGTGGGTGAGATTACGGAGAACAAAAAAGAGGACAGTCTAGGCTGAGCCTAATAGAAGCTGACGAAATGGCTGAGCAGACTCCAAAGGACTTAGTTACTTAAAAGCTAATCTACTGTGACTATAGAATAAAGATTTCCAACTCACTAACTTTATAATGATTATTTTGACTACTGAGAAGGCTTTCTTCATTCATCTTTTTGTGGCACAATGGTGAGAAGCGAATGAACTTTCAAAACCTTTTTAAAAATCTGATTTTTATATAAACTCTGTATATATCTAGACTTTGAGCAACAGACTTTGGCCTTAGTTTTCTCATCTTTAAGACGGGAATTATAGTCCAGAATTTTGAAAATTACATGAGTTAATATCTGTGATTTGTTTGGTATAGTATCTAACAATGGTGTTTAATAAATAGTAGGTAGGTGGTGTGGATGATGGAAGGAGCAAGAAAGCAGTAGAAGGGAGTCGAAGCTGGGCAACTGAGGTCATCCATTCTAATCCACTATTTACAGAAAGAAAACCAAGCAAGGCTCAGCCACATACCCAGCTAGTGTTAAGCAACACTGGAACACAGTTTTCAGACCCCTAACAATTACACTGCCTCCTCTTGATAAATAAAACATTACTAGCTACATTCATATAATTTTGGCTTGAAATCCTGTGACATTATATTTTACGGCTTCAAATGAGTAACTTAAAAGCTACGGGAAGAAATCATTTTATTAGATACTGCAAAAAAAAAGTTTTCTGCAAAGCTTTATTAACACATTCTATCTTAATGTTTTTCTTTGGGGTTTGTTTTTTTTAAAAGATTTTATTGGGGAATTGGGGAGGGGAACAGGACTGGGGAATTGGGGAAGGGGAACAGACAAGCGCTGTCCCTTTGCTCCTCAGTCCAGCTGTGGAGGACGTCACCCCACTGGCCCATGTTGGTGTCACCATTGCGCTCTTCCCAGGTGAGGCAGTCGCTTGCCAGCCATTGGACAGCTGCTCATGGTGGCTCACGAAAGATCATTCCAGCTGCCGGCTAGCCCCACTGCAGCCTACGCCGTTGCCGGCGACTCACGGCAGCCCAGTTCCAGGTCGAGCTGTTGTTCACCATCTTAGCTGTAGAGGGCGCAGTGTCACTGGCCCTCATATGGGATCCGAACCGGGGCCCTGCTGCTCAGGGCTGGCGTCCCAAGCCAACTCCTAACCAATACACCACTCAGCCGGTCCTATCTTAATTTTTAACCTTCAACATGGCAGAAGATCTGACACTGATTTTTTACTGACATTGATTTTTAGAAAGTTGACTTGCCAATATAATGTCATTAGAGAAGTTTTTTCCTATTATAATTAAAGTAAGGAAAGCTATTATGAAGTTCAGACTTTTAAAAATTTGTTCATAATAATCTTGTAACAACTAAGACTGCCTTTCCATTTTTGACAGAATACTAATTTTACATTAAGCAAATGAAAAAGTTGGAAACTATAACCGGAACACAAATCATTTGCAATAAGGCTTTTTTAATTTTTAAATCATGAATTATTGACTTATTACTTATTAATTATAACAGTACTCAGCTTCACCATCTGAACTAGTTATTTAGCCTCCAAAACTCAATAATCATATCTGAAAATTGGGAATAATAACAGAACTTTCACTCATAAATTTTTGTTAGAATTAAACAAAGTAATGTATATAAATCTATATAAAGCACTTGAAACAAAATCCGGCACTAACTAAACATTCAAAAAAATGTCTATTATTTGTAAATAAATACAAATAATCTTTTCAGTAAGAAAAATAGTCTACTTTTTTTAATGAAGAAAAGAACATTTTAAATCATTTTACTGAATAATCCTCTTGGAAATTAATGAAACTAAACCATTCAAGATATTTTTTGAGGCACATGTCTAAAATATTAACAGGAGTAACTTATACAAGTAAAATGAAAAATTGGTCATAAGGTAGAGTTGAAAAGAATCGGGGGATAGAGAAATCTAAACGTATTATTTCATTTGCATAGACAACATTAAGAAAAAAACTAAAGTGTCTGCTCAAATGTAATTAAAAATGTATATGTACTAATTGGAAATTTGCTTAACAAATATGCTTACTTTTCTTTTTATGTCTTTTAATTTTTCAAATTCTAGTTAGGAAAAAGAAACACTAGTTTTTCTTTATATCAAATTGTATAATGTTTATTATGTCTATAATTACTTTATAGATGTCTATAGCTATTTTATCTATAAAACATGAGTATAGTTCTTTTGTCTTTTAATCTCTTATCTAGATCAGATCATAGATATGCTTGTTTTATATATATATATATATATATATATATATATATATATATATACTCTACAATATTATGTATATAATTTTTGAGTACACAATTAATGTTAGCCAAATAAATAAGTCAGTTCTGTATGAGAAGACCCAAGAATTAAACAAATTCTAGGTAATAAGAAAATAAAAGTATCTTTTGAGTATTTAAGCAAATTCTTAATGCTGTCACATAGGAACCCACTCAAATTCTTCCATGTCACATTCCAGATAAAAGTTAAAAAACCAAGAGAACAATCCTAAACACAGGGTCACTGGCCCCATGACTGCCATCTTAGTTTTGTCATTTTAGTGGATTCTGGTGGTTGTTTGGTCCCTGTTGTTCATCCCATTCCTCCTGTAATCCCACAATATTTCACTTCTTATTCTACAGGAGCCTTAATTAAATATTCCTATCTGAAACTGGATAACATGAATAGTTTCCCACCCAAAGTGGTATAGCTATTCCATTATTTTCAACTTAGAATTCACATATATGTGATTATGACATATTCTCATACGTCTTAAATATATAAATACCCTTTGCTTTATAAATGGTACTTTTACGTAAATACTATCCTTTAGCATTATTATTTGAAAATTATGGAAATAAATTCTAATCTGAGTCTTTCTATTCAAATTACTACTGTACCTTGTAAAGCAGCGTGAATAGCACAATGTGTAAAGTTTTACAGTGCAAAAGTCTCATGAGACCTTTATAGCTGGGATGGAGTGGCGTCCTTTTCTTATAGGGAGGCCAGGGATTTCCAGGGAATTTTCCACTCTGTTTTAAACTGGAAAAATAAAACAAAACTAAAATTAGATGACAGACTCAAGATTAAATTATAGTTTAAATAGTGATTGACAGACATTAATTTTGTTACATTTTTCTATGCAGTATTATTTTTAATCAAAGTGCTCAAAAATGACAAATGGATCTATCCTCTTCACAATAAATATTTCTATTCCTTTCATAGTGGATGAAAATGAGTAGAGCTAAAAACTAGAAAGAAATATGAATAGGAAAATGTTAAAGAAAAAAAAACAGAAAGAATACAGAGTAAAGAACTAAACAAAGAAATTTCCAGTTGCAACAATTGAACAAAATAGATAACCTAAAATTTCTCCCACTACAGTTGGGAAAGCTGGACAAAAAATAAAATATAATCTTTTCAATGCTTCTTTGAACTTGCAATAAAAGAAAGTGCATTTTCCCCAGGTACGACAAAAAAAACCAAAGGAATTAACAATAAGCACGTAACACTGTGTTTGCCAATGGTTTTCAAGTCCTTGAGTAAGCAGATCTCAAAGTCTTAGACTCACACAATGCTCAGAGATGGAACTCAGATCCCACATAAAGCTGAGACCTTTGAAAAGCTTTACTGTCTATAAAAGGATAACTCCCAAGGAGAAATAAGAAAGTTTTCCTGTCTCTTCTATGATGGAAAAACAACAGTCTCCCCAAGGAGATAGTAATTCTGAACTTCTATGCAGTAACAGCAGACTCAAAATTTAAAAAGCAAAATCGAAGAGATTACACAGAAAAACTGACAAATCCACAACTATAAGAGGATATTAACATACTTCTGTCTAACAGAAAGCCAAAGAAAAATAAATTGGTAAGGATTTTGAAGATTTTTAACAACACAATTAACAAGCTTGAACCAAAGACAAATAAAGACCATCCAATAATTAGAAACATACATAATTTTAAGTACATTTAGAACATTTATAAAAATTGACAAAAGAATAAGATGCAAAGTAAACCTCAACAAATACCAAAAGAACTAACATACAGAACCACAGCCACTTGTCACAAAGCAAATAAAACTAGGAATCAACTAAAAGATAAACCAAAACTCCAGACATGTAAGCATTTTAAAACACTATGTTCTTAGAAATTCATAGGTCACTATAAACATAATACAAAATTTTAAATATTTAGAATCTAAACTATATAGAAAGTTGTGGAATACAGCAAAAGCAGTACTTGGAAGGGAATTCATAGCCTTAACTGCATATTTAAAAAAAAAATAATCAAAAACTAAGCACCCAAGAAAAGAGGGAAAACTCAAACTAAGTTGAAAGAAGATAATAAAAAATAATAAAGGAAAAAAGAATGAAATAGAAAACAGTGGAAAAAAAGAAACAACAAAATCAAAAGTTTGTTCTTAAAAAAATAGTAAAACTGGCAGTCTTCTGATAAGACTAATCAAGAATAAGAAACTGCAAATACAAATAAATAATATGAATTAAAAAGGCAGATAGAATTTTTAAATTATTGGTTATATACTTAAGACAAAATAGAAGAGTTCTTAAAGAAATATAACTTGACAATCCCTCTCAAAAAGAAATAAAAATCCTAAGCAGGACTATAACCTTTAAAGAAAGTCAATCAGTAATTTTAAATTACCCACCAAAAAATAAAAAATGAATCCCAGGTGGTTGAATAGGCAAGCTGTATAAAAACTTCAAGAAACATCCACATGAATAACAATAAAATTGGACCACTACCTCACACCATATGTAAAACTTAACTCAAAATGTATCAAACACTTTAACATAAGAACTAAAACTATAAAACCTTTAGAGGAAAGCACAGGCATAAGTCTTTGTGACCTTTGTTAGGCAACAGATGACACCAAAAGCACAAGCACCAAAAGAAAAAAACAGATAAACTGGACTACATCAAAATTAAAAACTTTTCTGTTCAAAGGACACTTTTAAAAAAGTAAAAAAATAACCCACAACCCACAGAATGTAGAAAATATTTGCAAATTATATATCTGATGAGTCTAATATTCATAATATATAAAGAACTCTTAAAATTCAATAATAAAAAGGCAACACAATTTTTAAAAACAGACAAAGGATCTGGAGAGTCCTTCAAAGAAGATATATAAAAAGCCAATAAGCACATGAAAAAAATGCTCAACATCATTAACCATCAGGAAAAGGCAAATCAAAACTACAATGAGATTCCACTTCATACCCACAAGGACAACTATAATCAAAAAGACATAACAAGTGCTAGTAAGGATGTAAAGACATTGGAACGCTCACATACTGCTTGCAGTAATGTACAATGCTAAAGCTTCTTTAGTAAAAGATCTGGTAGTTCCTCAAACAATTAAACACACAGTTACCACATGACCCAGCAATTCCACTCATAGGCATATATACTCAACAGCAATGAAAACATATGGCCACACAAAAGTTTATAGAAGCACATTCATGGTGTATTATTCATAACAGTCCCACAAAGTGAAAAGAACCCAAATAACCATTAATTGATAAAATAGATACATAAAAGAGGGGTATCCTTACAATGGAATATTATTTGTCAATAAAAAGAAATGAAGTACTGATACATGCCTTGAAGACATGCTAAGTGAAAGAAGCCAGTTACAAAAGACCACATTTGATTACATTTATATGAAATGTCCCCAAAAGGCAAATCTATAGAAACAGAATGTAGATTAGTGGTTACCTAGGACTGGGGGATTGGGGGAAATGGGTAGTGGCTGTCAATGAATACACAGAGGGTTTCTTTTTATAATGATGAATATGTTCCAAAATTTCTTATGGTGATAGTGGCACAACTCTGTAAATACACTAAAAACCACTGATTGAATTGTACACTTTAAACGGGTGAGTTATATGTGAATTATATCTAAATAAAGCTGTCAGAAAAAATACATTCAAGAAACAGATAATCTCCAAATTGTGGAGACTAGTAAAAGGGTGAAAATACACAGGTAATTCAGCTAATTCTATGATGTTAATATAACCTTGTTACCAATACACCAACAGAACGTTTTTTTAAAAATTATAAGACTATTGCTCTTATAAGTACAGTGGACAAAAATTCTTTAAAAAAAGTAAACCATATCAAGCAATACTTTATTTTTTAAAGATGGAGTGCATCATGACAAGATTGGCTTTTTCCCAATAACACAATGAATGTTTGGATTGTATACCATCACCTACACAGGTGCAGGAAAAGCACTTGATAAAATTATAAACTCACAATAAAAATTCCTGGTTAAACATGCAATAGAAAAGAACTTACTTACCTGATTAAGGGTAACAACAAAACTACTAAAGCAAACATTTTATCTAATAGTGACCCATGAAAAGCATTAGGAACAAGCCAAGATGCTTTTCATCACTGCTATTATTCAGTACTATTCTAGAGACACTAGCCAGCAAAGACAGACAAGAATGTTTGTGTTTGTGTGTGTGTACACAAAGAAGAGAAACAAAATCATCATTATTCCCAGATAATTTAAATGTCCTCACAGAAAATCTTAAGAAATCTACAAATTATTGGAACTAACAAGAATAAGCTGAACATAAGATGAACAACAAAAATCAACTGCATTCCTATTCACTAAAACAAAGAGAAACTGTAATTTCAAGAAATATACCACATATAATATCTATAAAAATTATAAGATAACTTTGAATAAATCTGACAAAAGATGTCCAAACCCTTTATGGAAAAAATAATAAAATTTTACTGAAATAAATTAAGATAACCTAAGTAAATTGATATATGTCATGTTCATGGATAGGAAAACGCATTACTATTGTATTAAAAAGGCATTTCTACCAAATTAATCCATGAATTCAGTACAATTTCAATCAAAATCCAACATGTTTTATCATTTAATTTGATATGATCATTATAAAGGCAAAGGGCCAAGAATAAATAACTATTATAAATAGAAGAGAGGAGTAGGAAAAGGAAGAAGATGAAGTGGAGGAGGCGAAAGGAAGACTTACAGCATTTAACACAGCGTGGTATCAGTTTACAGAATGAACAGAAGAGAGAGAGAGACCTATATACATACAGACACCTAACACAGTTATCTTTATTCACAGCAGCTATGTTCTATAAAATCACCACAAACACTAAATTATTGTACCAAAGGGAAATACAGGGTTAGGTTCCTGCAAGTCTGGAAGTCACATTTTTGTCAATTGAAATGCCATTTGCATTATGCAGGTTCATTTGCCAATGTCTCTGTAAAACAAGCCAGCCCCATCAGCACTGAATTGAAAATCTGCTCTTCCACACAAACTTTTTCCTGAATAACTCTTAGCAAGTATTTTTTTTTTAATTCTTCTGCCATCTGCTGATCTGCAGAACTTATCTTGCCTGCAAGTTTAACATTTTCCACACCATATTACCTTTGGAAATGTACAAGTCAGCCAGCACCAGCCAAGAAGGGTCTAACACTTTCCTAACCCTGGGTAAACATGACAGTAAATTTCTTTGGCTTTCAGCCTCACAACAATGCCCACTGTGCTTTTTTATCACTTATTGTCTCATGGTCCACAAACTTAGCTTTTTAGCTTTGCTATAGCTATATATTATACACATCACTTGGGCACTTTTTGGAATAGCTTCATGTACAGGTCAGTGAATTTCCTCTGCCTTTTCCTGGATATACTATTGAGTTGTCGGAAAAGTCATGACGTATTTTGTCTATGTTTTTCAAAGGTCACTTATTTACATAAAGAACAAAGATCAATCAATGATATATTGCCCGTTTTGTTTGATAACCTTTTGCCATTTTTCAGCGAGCGTCTTAATTCCATGTTCATACAAGGACCTGTTTTTATCTGCAAAAAAACTGAACAAGGTGCTGATTTACAGCCTCATCTGAATTGAACATTATATCATGCAAGGAGTTTTGAAGAGAGCAAGACAAGTGGAAGTCTGACGGTGCAAGGTCAGGCGAGTATGGTGGGTGTGGCAACACACCCCATCCAAGCTCCAATAATT